TAGGCATAAAATAGGTCATGCTTCATCAGTTGAACATTATGGTGTAATGAATGACAGACCAAATACTCCAGCACCTATGATTGAGCGAGGATATGATGAAGTATCGGATATCATAACTCAAAGAGTTGCCCATAAGGCCTGACCTATATGGAGAAATTTCTGATGATGAGAACTAATCACGCTTCTTCACTTTCACCACACCCATAGTAAAATCTTCATCATCATTAGACGATTCAGAGTCGGACCCAGAACCAGATTCAGAGTTAGACCCAGACCCAGACTCAGATGCTGTATCATTTAAAAATCTCTTTTTTATTTTAACCTTGCATGGTGTATGATTTCTTCGAGGGATATCCGGGTTCGTTATCGTGTTTATAATATCTTGCTGAATCTCAGGTTTCACTATCTCCAGTAATCGGTGAAAAGAGATCCAGATTTTTTTATTTGACACTTGTTTAACGATATCAGATACCACTTTATCGGTAATGTTGGATAAATTTTTATCTTTTTCAAAACCAAATTTTTTCGCAATCTCATAAGTGATAATTGGACATTCTGAACATGAATCAATCACACTCTGTTGCTTTAGCACTAATTCAATATTATTATTTTCAGTCATTGTCTATGTTAAATTATTTATTAATACGCAATAAAAAATACAGTATTAAATATTTTACCAATGTTCGTTGATATTCTTATCGAAGGAAAAATCCCAGTAAAAGCATTAATCGATACAACATCTAAATCCAATACCATTAGTAAGAGCTTGTTCGATAAGCTTGAAGAAGATTATGGGTTGGGATGTTTATCTGGTGATGAATTGATCGGTGAAGAAATAAAAGGCTTAGATTTGCAATTTCAGTATAAAGGGAAGTGGCGAAGCTTAGATTGTACTGAATTAATAGACTTCCAAATTCGCAAAAATCCATCGTTTGATCTGGTATTGGGACAAGATTGGTTATGGATGCGTGAAGCAAAAATTAGCTTTGGATTTTCTTCTGAAACATGTAGCCACCATGCTAAACTTGTAATAGATAATATGAGTATCCCATTAATCGAAGAAAATAGCAGGCCCTTTAGGGACAACTCTTTGAGTCATAAAGCCAGCTCCACTAAAAATAACTCATCTAATTCGATGGACTTGAAACCCGATCTGGAGGAACTTGTGGATATGTTCAAGAAATTATCTCTCAAAAGATTCGATGATGTTTCCAAAAATAGCGGAGCTAGCAAGAAAAATAGGGTCGAGTATTCTATGAATTCAGATACTTCAGACTCAAGTGATTCTTCTTTGTCTAGATTGCGATCAGAAGTTATAAATATGCATAAGAAGCGATGTCGCAAAGTAAAAAAGAAAAATTAATTATAACCACATCGTAACTACGAAATTACATCACGTTATAACGGGCCTCAGGGGAGCGATGTCATGTGTTTTTAATCTGCGAATCAGAGATCAGTCCGTGGAACATACATAGCCAGCGATAGAAAAAATAGTGAATATCGAGTTGAATTGGTCAGGCCTTCAGATGTCATTAATATGTGCATTAGCACTAGCTCCGCTATTCGAAATCGGTAGTCTACGCTTTCACCGTTACTATTTGGATTGAATTTTGATAGGCTCACAGCATTGCAGACGATAAGTTCTTGTATTGACGTAATCCCCACTACCCCATTTACCCTCTACATTATATCTTATATTTTCTTTTTTATGATCTTTATTGCATAGAGGCAGAGTACTGATCTATTAAAATCAAAGTAATTATTTTTAAAGCTATGTCACAGATCGATTTATCCGTAAGATATATTCCAGCTGTGTGACACGAATCGGCGAAAAATAAAACGATCTAAGAATCAAATTTGGGATTATGTAGGTATGGAAATCCACTCAATTGATATTATCTGCTTTTCTTGTAAAAAGAGCAATAAATTACGAGAATTCTTAATCAAGATCAACTTTGGTCAGATTTCTTCAGTAATGAAATCGAGAAGGCAAATAATTATTTTTAACGCAAAATGAAATCTAGCAATTCTTTATTATATTAAATTGGACACGCTATAAACTGCCCCCAGCACAACTAAATAACCCATCACATTATTACGACACTTCCCCTTCTCCCTGTAAAAGTGAATCCCGAATTTTGATTAATGCCGTCAAAACTGAACGTCTTCCGATCGGTTCTGCCAAATCTAGACCAGCATTTGGATCATTCCTCCCCGGCCATCTTAAAATTGTGATTGACTGCTTTTGTGGTAAGCCCCTCCTAAGTTCTCTCCAATATGCTACAGGAATCTCAGCCTTGTAGAATGTAACATACGAGGAGATGACACGAACAGCCAATATGGTCTGATCCGTAATAGATAGACGTACATTTTCATATCCACAGGCGAGTATCTCGGCAAGCATCTGCGCTTCCCCAAAATCAGGTGCAATAACATTCTTCAAATGTTTATCCTGTTAAGAAAAAGGGTTTGGGTCATCAAAATGTGGACTCGTCAAACAATGAAAAACATACAGACCTCCACGACTATCATAGCAACTTCTTTCTTATCTATGACAAATTCAGGTTTTGCAGATACTCTCTTATCACTAACGACTAGCCTGTAGTATTCTTTGACTCTAGGTTTAGATGTGATGTGGTTAGGAAATAATTAGAGTACATAACAAAGATAATTTTATTATTCCTCACCTTAAACCAAATGGCTCACCATCAAATTCAGCAAAGCGAGTTAACATATGGTTTACTAATGAGTCAGTCTTAGATTCGTCTGTGCCTATATCAACACCCGCATTCATGACCACTCTGTGTAGGTTTTTAACAAACGCTTGGACGTATTTATCCGAAATTCCAGGAATAGTATTAACATCGAAATCTGGTCTCCGAAGCATATCGCTAGAGAGATTGGGGAGAAAATAATGGCGCGGAATGTTCGTGCCTAAACGATATTTAAATTATAAGCACATGTTCGCTAAAATTGTTAACACAATGTAGTTATTACCTTGAACATTAGGTATGACTTCGTTCACGTTGGAAGCCGATTTGAAGGTTGCGTTTAATGCCTCCATATCTTCAAGCGTAAATTTAGATGCCGAAGAAGGGAGATCCTTTAAGCCATAGCTGGAACGAGAACTGGAACTGGAACCGGAACTGAGCCTAAGGCTACTGGTGGCTCCGACAAGCACTGAGTCTTCTTTGGCAAGTCTGCGCTTAGGCTGTTGACGGGTGGCAGAAGAGCTCGTAATTTCAACGTTTTTTCGTTTTTTTGAAGACATCAGTAACACAGGACAACAAAAAAAGCTGTGATAAGGAAGTTAATCAGAACAATCAGCATCATGCATGCAGAAGTTCCATAACCTTCGATTTTATTCTGTGGTATAACATGTGATGTGTATTACGAAATAATGACACTTACGTGCCTGATCGAACCTCTGTGTAAAATTATTTCTTAAAAGCCGGCCTATATAGATAGAAGCGTGGGGGTAGGGACGTTTAAAGGGAGGAATAAAGCATAAATGCCCGCCGGATCTTAAGCCTTTTACATAGTAAAAATAGCGGTTCCTTTCCCTACCCCACACTAGCTATCGTCACTGAATACATTACTTCTACTTCCTATACTACTAAAGTAAGTATCTTTCTTTTTTCCTTCTTTCTCGACCCAAGCTCAATTTTATCTAGTGAAGTCCTTTGAAGAGACTTCTGATGCCGATAGAAGCTAGAAGTGTAGCCGGACTAAGGCCTATCTCTTCAGATAAGACGTTATACATTTTTGTGGGAGAACGTCCATCCCTCTTCCTTTTCTCGTTAAATAAGGCGGTAAATTCGACCCAGAGAGTCTCAGTTTCGTCGGAGTATCCAGATTTGTGGCTCCTTGCAGATTCTTGTCCTTTAATTAGCGAAGCCAATACATTAGTGCTAAAAACGCATTAATAAATAATACCACGTTGTTGAATAAATACCTTGAGACCGAATCTCACTTTTCCATTCCGTTTCAGTTCGCATTCTAGTAATCTCATTATTAAGTGCTAGAATTGCTTTTTCGAGTTTTTGTATAGAAGGATCACTCGGCATTATTTTGCGTATATATATAAATGCTATGATAAGAATTATATGTATTGTCCCATTTTCGGGGATAATTGTGTGGAGTGTCTCCGTAGTTAAAATGCCTCGATGTAATAAATCATAGATCGCGATTACAGCGATGAAAATAATGAATAAAAAAAATCAGATGTGTTGAGTGGCATTTCGCAGTGAATAAATTGATTATTCGATTAATTGTTTGATTGTTTGATTGTTATGCAAAGTATGAGCAAGGCTCTATATCGCGCGACGATAATTTCCCCGACAAATTTACTCCACTTTGTTCGTTTATGGTCAGTTTATATATTCCAGAAAAACAAATTGTTGAAAGTAGTTATACAATGAGTATAGTCTGGCTTCGAGTTCAAAGAATGAGAAGGCGGGGACGACCTGCAAATTTAACCCTAGACAACGCACGTTTTTATATCCGTAGCTCGTAAAACTGTGTCTCAGACACTAGCTCTGCTATATCTCACAGTAAAGGCGATCAATATCTTTATTCCATAAAACAGAGATAAATTAGCTTAGTTTCTTGCGCATCTCATGAACATTTTTTTCTTAACACGAATTATATCTGGTTTATTCTATGTGATCACGACATTTGTTCCTTAGATTTCGTTCTAAGTAATTGATACGTAGTTTCATTATAGATTCGAACGCAAAACAACAGTCATGTTGGGCAAAATATGTGCCTTGGCACTAGCTCCGCTATTACGGTTAATGAACTACCTATCAACTAATTGGGAATCGAAATTTAGCTAGCCCGTGATCAGCAATTCTGGATCGGCACTAACACGATTCGTTTACAAAATTTGTGATATGAGAAATGCACAATGCGTGTATCACATTACTTTCCGGCTCATATCAATATACTTGTAATACACCCGAAATAGATTCACACCCAAAATAGATTATACCAAATGTAGATTTATCCACATACCCGAAATAGATTTTATGTGTCAAAAATAGATCATACTATATCCACAGTACAGGAGCGATTTACACCTCTCATCGTATACATCACTCACAAAATATGACGATTATACACAACTCATCTAATAACCCAATTCGCACTAAAAATGAATCAAACATTCTTACACTATAGAGAACCAAATCTAATAGGTCTAGCCACGAAGTGACTGCTTTCAGCAAATCCCTAAATTCGATATAGCGAAGCTAGTGTCTCTGACACATAAATTACAAATTATGTCAGGTCTTACTATTACAACTATTATCGATAAAAAAGCTAAATCAGTGAAGATCATTAATAATCGTCCTGGATATGATATGAAATATGTAACGTCGTATATCTACAATTATTGTGGAATTAGTGACTATCAACGATACTTTGCTGATCTTTATGAGACTGAAAGACGATATGATACTTTATCAGTTATCCGACCCGATGAAACTCCACGACAATGGGCTATTCGGGTCAGAGTTCCTTTACAAGAGCTGGTTTCCGAAAAGAAAAGAAGCGTATATCATGTACATTGTTTATTTGGTGGATTTGGAAATTCTAAGCTAGTCAATCATGACTACTACAGACCTAGAATCCATAAGGCGAATGTAGCGATATGTCTAGATTGTATGAAGCTTGTTCATATTGTTAATGTAAAACCAACAAAGACATTCCATTGTGCTAGAAGAAGATATGTCGAAATTATCAAGCCAGAAGACTTGATGCAGAAACATTGGGATCACGAGTGTGATAAACCTAAATCTCGAGATGGGTACGCAAGAATTATACAAAGAGCATTTCGCCGATTCCAAGAAAAAGAGCCATCAAATGTACGACTTGCATGGAATAACTTACCAAATGATAATACTCCAGATGATGGAAAGTTTCTAGGTTTAACGAGACGTAAAGTAAAAAATCCTCAGACTCGAGAACAATTTAATCAATGGCGTACTAAATGGATTGAATTATATAAAAACGATCCTATGATGCGCAGTTCCATTATTAATAGACAATATGAAGAATATTATATTCCGGATAATTGGATAAGTTCTAAAAAGAGTCAATTGCGTATTAGATTCCAAAAGCGACTTTTAGAAATAGAAGCATAGTATTTAATCAATTATATAATTTAGTTACATAACATATCTATTTAACATAAAACCACCTAAAGTATTCCTTGAGGGCTAGTACTTTAGACTTTATTTCGTTATCCCTGAGAGCTGGTAACATTTTTTTTACTTTGATTTTTTATATATGAATCACGGAATCCAATCTAATATTAGCTCTAGTGCCGGTTTTTTGCTTAATAGAAAGTAGATTGATTCATCAGAAATAAACGGACATTTCTTTACATTGAGAACTAGTAAATTAGAACAGTGGTGTGCGATTTCATATATCGTTTTATCAGTGATATAAATATATTGAAAACTAAGATTCTGAAGGATTTGGCACGAGCGGACAAGATCACATACAGCATCGTCCGTAATCTTATAACAGGAAATAAGACTAATATTTTGTAGGTTTTTATTTAAGTCTGCAATTTTTTTGATTGATTTATCGGTAATCCGTTCACAGCCTTCGAGAAAATAATTTCGCATATCTGGACAGCCAGTTGCAATCGCACATATAGCTTCATCCGTAATTATTTCATTGAACGACAAATCCAGGTGTTGAAGATTTACACATGAGCGTGCAATTGCACGAATTGATTCATCATTAATAGAAGGTTGTCCATTGAGGTTTAAATATACTAGATTGCAACAAGATCGTGCTATTTCAATCACAGATGCACTGGAAATATTAGTATCTCTATACAAAGAAGCGAGACTTATGTATTTTAAATTTGGACAAGATTGTGCTATTTCACTAACACATCTATCAGTAATAGCTGTACACGCATCAAGACTCAGATGTAGTAGCTTCGGACAATATTTTGCAATTTCTATAATTGGTATATTACTAAAACCATGACTTCGATCGAGGATGAGAAAGTTTATATTTGGACATGAATGTAGAATTGCACTGAGTAATTCATCTGAGATTTTTAAACCCGCCAATTTGAGATATACCATCTTTGAGCAATATGGAGGTTTTGTCTTTCCGCACATAACTCTTTTAAACTTTCTTAATTGCCAATAAAGAGGTCCAGACGTATCTTTACTATACCGATTCTGCTGATAACCTTCTATAGAAAACTCAATGTGTCTCCATAGAATCGGGGCACTGCAGTGATACCAAAGTCTATTGACAAATAATGCAGGATAGAGGGCTTTATCCTTAGCCAAGAAACTGAATATATTTTCAAGTAACTCCGGAAGAATAAGAGGGTGACTCATATTTAGTTCTTTATATAAGCGCAGTTAATACAAAAGATTAAAAATTCATTGCATCTCTGAAATCTCGCTCTATTCATTAGAAAGATTCAAGGGTGTATCCCAACCGAGCCTAATTGCCAGAGGATCGTCTACTGCCTTAGTGAAATCAAAAACCACAAATTCACGATCCCGTAAATGTTTATCAATTATCTTGGATGCTTTTTTTGGGTCATCTGTGTATTGACGTACGATTCTACTAATATCGTCTCTACTACCCGAGCCCCGAAATAGGCATAAATGTGAGATACTGTATTTTCACGAATAATTTTAGGAGTTTGTGTATATTTCTGGCTTACATATATAGGTGAGACATTTTGGTGCCGGCCACTAATGAAGTAAGGAATAATTCGTTCTTGCACTTTCTTTGGTTCCGCACATAGATCTTCGAAAATAACAACTGTACTTCGCTCTGGAGAGAATTTAGTTATATCGGGGATCTTGTCTGGTGCTATCTTTTTGAATGTTACATCCTCTCTATATGGTTTCGGGGCATTTGCAAAGATCTGATATGCATTTTTTACTAACTCCCATTTCGGTTCAGAATGCTTCGCTACTAATACCAGATCATCATTTCTGATATACCGATCGCCTTTTTTCCTATTGAACATACATTTGAGTTTCTTACCTAACATGAGATTTATTCCCATATTAG